TCACTATTAATCAATTAAAAACATATTTTATCTTTTAACTTATTCTAAACAAAATTTTAATTCTTATCAAATTCTTTAAAACTTAATTACAAATATTACTCAACAATTAAATATCTTTGCTAAACTTACAAATACAATTTATATAATATATTATTATATTATTTAAATATATTACTACATTTTTATTATTTAATCTTATTCAAGGTCTCTATTCTATATTCTTATATAATAATGATAAAATTTTTTTTTATAAAGCAATATTATTTTTTTTATAACTTTATTAAAAATCTTTTTTAATTAGTTTTATTAACAAATATACTATCATATAATATTCTTTAATAATAATAAGAAAAAACTCACAATATAACTAATAGATCTAAATGTTCAAAATTTCACTTCTTATTTTCTTCTTCTTAATTAATACCTAATATTTTTAATATATCTATTATTGATTTTATTATATCTATTAAAAACTAGTTATTTTTAAACTATTCATTTACTAATTATATTTACTAAATGCCAAGACTATTACTTAAAGTCTTCTTTAATCTTTTTATACTTAAAATTAATTTGAAATAATTAATAATAATGTTATATAGAAATAAAAGTATAGTGTTACATTAGGTATTTTAAAATAAGTAGTACAGTGTAGTTTAGAAATTCTTAATATAATTTTTCTTATTATTTAATAAAGTTTTTACTTTAATATTTTAAAAAAAAAATTACACACTTAGTAATTACAATATAATAATATTATTATAAGAATTTTTTTATACTATTACTGGTAAATAATGATTAGTAATGCATATATAAATATAAAACATTATAAGTGTATTTTAGTAAATTCAAATTTTATTATTATAACTACTTTTATATCTTTAAAAAAAACTATACTAACCTTATTCTAAATAGATTTAAATAAAAAAAATCATTTAAAAAGTTGTTAATTTCATTTTTTTTCAGCATCTAGCCAATTAATTTATATTAACAAAATATTGTTGCACAAGTTTCTTATATTATTTTATAATAAAAATTTTTAACTCAAAATAGCAATATTGAAATTATATAATTAAAACCTTCTGAAATTTTGCAAAATAGTTTTTTGAATGCTTAACTTTCATATAAAAATTTGGAATTAGTGAGATCAAGTATTTCATTACTTTTGTTAAAAACGATTCTGACAATACCAGTATGTAATAAAATAACAATATTATATAATTTTTGACTTTTAAAAAATAATGGTTTTTTTTGATTTCACATGAGCAAAATAAGATGATTAAAAAATTAATCATTTCATATCGTAAAAATGTCAGACATAAATCTTTGAAATACATAATCCTTTTGATTTTGACCAATCATAATTTTTGTCAAATGAATGAGCAACAAACCAAAAGAGGAAATCTAATTTCGTAAATAAACTAAGTAGAAGTTTAGGATTAGAGCATTAACATTAAAGACTATATCAATAGATTGTTACTTGCTATATGTAAAATTTCGTTCCCGACATTTTTAATTAGTGCACCAAGGTCTAGTTTTTTTGAGTATTTTCGCTTTTTTCTTATGCTGATCTGGAATAGCAAATTTTGTGCACTCTCATTTCCTTTTTAGGGTTTGTATTACTCGCGCGTGCCTTGGAAGACAGAATCCTGATAGTAATCCAAACGTTAAAACAGAATTCCGACAGGTTGTAATCCTGAATTAATAAATTTTTAAGGGTTAAACTTCTAATTATAAAATTCTAATTACGCAATTGGATTTTTATTATCGCGATTCGCAAAATTCTGATCACCCACAATCGTGATTATCGGCGAGATTGACTCATTTCAAAAGATCGTTGACGCCTTTACATGACATGGACTACTTTACTGCGCCACCACCGATTGTGCTTGTGGCGCAGAAAAGTACTTTCATTACATGTGAAAGTATCAAACAATCTTTGAGAATGAGTCTTGGCTAGTCTAAAATAATCGAACAAACTCAATCTCGAAAGATTTTTTGATATAATAGTGATGATAATCACATTTGTTATTCGGATTTTCGCGAGAATCCTAAGTTCTATTACTTGCATTGGCTATAGCAGTTAAAACGTTAAAGTATTATTTTAACTTGAATGATAAATGGGCTACGGAATTTTCAAATCGAGATAATTCAGGATTATGACCAAAATTATAATCTATCGGGATTCTGATTTAAGGATTTTGAATAACAGGATTATAATCCGTCAGGATTCTATTTGTCAGGATTTTGACCTGTAACCAAACTAAAGGGCTTTCTTGTTATGTGTGGAAGGATCGAGAAAAAAAACCAAGCATCGGGTTCGAATTGATGTAAGGAAGAGAAAACGTATGATCTTCTCTAATCAATATCGATATGTTAAAAAAAATTTCGTTTAACATCACACGATTTATTGGTATTACCTCCGCGCCCGTTGTTCAAAACAACCCTAACGTCACAATTTCTCTGTCTTGTCAAATCAAATTCAGGTGTAACATAAAATCAAAACAAAACAAATACACCAAACCACACGTCATCCTAACTCGGGTAGTAGGCTGGGGTCATAGTTATTCAACAACGGGTCGAATAATCTAGTGAATCATGATCAATATTGCCAAATGGCCAAATTGGACAGCAGGGGGAACTTTTGCATTTTTCGGAAAAGTACGGGATTTTTTATGTGATAATCATTAAACTACACCGCCAATCAACAAGCGTAGCTTGTATATTATTTTTCTTCTATAGTTTAACTTTGAAGTAAAATAAATCGCGTTTTAAAAACTTTATTAGAAAAGTTTTTAATAAGTTACGTGTTCTTTAATAATATTAATAATTAACAAAACTATACTATCGTATATATAAAATGACTTATATTAAATTAAATATCTTAAGTAATAATAGATAAGAAAAAAAAAAGACGGGACAACGTTGAACTTTATGAATTAAGTAGTACAATATATTTTTATTACCTCCTACTATACAGTAGACAGTACTTCAGCTCTTAATAAATCTACCTTTTATTGCGTGATTCAACGTGTTTCAAATTGATTTTCTTAACAAAACGTTGTTAGGAAGTTCTTTCGATTAAATTTTAAGTTTACTAATACGGTTTTATACTACATCCTATATAAATATCCGTGTAACGTTGATCCCGGAAATCATCGGAAACGAATGTTCCCCCTGCTAAATTGGACCCGTCAAATATTTATATAGAAAAAGCTAGTAATATGATTGGTTAACGTTACATAAGTTAAAAATTACCAACACTGAACTGAATAAGGCCTTTTTTAAAGAGTATCATGATTTTAAGATTCTAGTATGTGGGATGATATCAAAGCTCTTTTCAACGAAAACATATAAAATGATGTATTTTCGCTGTTGTAAAAGATAAACACTTTGAATTAAATCATTAATACAAAGATAAAAACCTTTGAATTAAATAATTATTTCAAAGATAAAAACTTTCAATTTAAATAATTCAAAGATAAAAACTTTCGAGTTAAATAATGTTTAAACTCTATACGTATATAGTTGATATTTATGGCAATTATAAGCCCAAGAACTCTCACATTTCAAAATCGAGAGTTCCTAATATCTTAAATGTCGATACAAATCAAGAAATGTCAAAAACATTCGTATTCGCTGATGATTGGGATAGGGAGTTCGTGCTAGGATGGGATTTTGTTTAAGGACTAAAAAAATAGATTAATTTAATTTCATATATATAAATTCTTTGTTGTAAAAAAGTAATTACTTTCAAAATCATACTGTATTTGTAACAGGGCTGTTGTCGGCTCATTCGGCCTTGTTTCAAGCGTTAATTTTTTTTTATTGGTTTAAATAAAATATAAGCCGAAAAATTTTAATATTTGAGGGGTGCGGCATCTGAAACTGTGTTACATCATCATTTCTACTGTGACAAATATCGATATATTCTATTAAATCGTCACCTTGTGAGATGTCAGCAAAATGGTAAATGCCGCAACCGTCGGCTATGAAATGGCACACAATACTCGGAATGGAAATAAGTTCCACATAAGCCTTAATACTGTGAAGATAGTGGCAATCTTCTTAACGTTAATATAAAGAGCTAGACAGTCGACACTCCATATGTGCACTTTTCCAAAATACACATTTTGATAAAATTCACTCTAAAATACAAGACTTCCTCTAATCCCAAATACAGTACATAGAGTTATATGTACATACTTTGCTTCTTTCTTAATTGGAGGGTTTGATTAAGTCTTGACGAGTTGTATTTGCATTTTGCATTTACAAAATTATGAGTTACTGTATATCCTTTCTTATTCCAAGTCACCGTTATCATTCTTGGCAACACCAGACCAAAAGGATATTTAACGAAATGAGCTTAAAGCATAACACATGATGTGATTATGCAGCCTTTGTCATGGCACCCAGTGTTGTCACTGAAGTCAAATTGACAACACTGCTAATGGCACCATTACCCAGAAAATATCGCATGAATCATTCCGTTCATTAACTTGAAAACTGACCTTTATCCATTCTTTGTACATTAGTGAAAGTTACATGGCACACGAAAAAAGATATAACAACACAACGCGATTTTATTTAATGCGGTTATAAATCTTATTGGTTTCTAACATAGTTGAAATGTCATGTAAAACACAAAGCTTAATTGATATAATCTTACTTTTTTCTTAATTTAGTTATAAGTTTAATTTATATAGTTATAATTTTAATTATATAACGATAAGCCACCGATGTGGCAATTCTAACTTGCGTTAACAAAAATTTATCGAAATTGTGGTATCGGTTTAATTTTTATATATACCTAATCGATTCGAATTAATTACTAAGATACATTGGTTTATTTTACACAAAAAAAAAGAAAAGAAAAAAAAGATTCCTATATATATTAATATTTATGTCGGTTTTATCGATATTCACAAAAAATAGATATAATTTATGAATTATTTTTTTGATTTTTTTTTAAAAAAACAAATTCTATTTTTAACTCGTTAATGTTAATATTGATTTCCCCATTCGAGGGGAATATTTTCGAATAAAAAATTTTCGTATGTCCAATCCTGCTCGATGTCAGGTTGTTGTTGAATTTCCGAATATTGAGAGTATTCTAACATTGGTATAGACTCGGTGTATTCGTAAAAAGCCAATTCGGAATTTACATTCTCGTACATACCAGAAGGTAATTCCTGGCAAATATTATCACCTTGCCACAATGTAGGATCCGCAACATTGGGTAACATGGTGAATCCAAGAGGATTTGATAATTGAATGAGATTCATAGATGCATGGTCAAAAATATCGAGATCAGTTTCTTCAGGAGTAAGTAATCCTGAATGATTAATAAGACTATAAAATAATGAATCTTGAGATAATTCTGGTGTTGAAAATTGTGTATCGGTAAGGGGCGGAGATGGCATTATTGAAGATTGGACATTATTTTCGGATTGATTAGAACTCAATTTTGATTTTTTATATAATTTTCGCACGTCTTTCGCAATTTCTTTATATTTATTTTTTACTTCTTCTGGTTCACGCTTCCATGAGATCGAAACCCAAGGAGAAACATCAGTCATTTTAAATCTAAGGTTTCTCTTGATTAATTCTTTAGTGTATACTTTGCGATAAATGAAAAACGCATTCGGTGGTTTTGAAGGAAGCTTGCGAGTTTTGCAATTCATTAAATCTTCAGGGTTTATTTGTGGCGGGAAAGGTAAAATCAAATTGGGTGGAGGACTAATGATTCTTCGTGTTTGTTGATCTGCTGATGGCATAAAGGATGACGAATTTCCAGCAGTAGTAGATTGAAAGGCAGCTGTATCAATTTGCATTTTGAGAATTTCTTTGTAAAGATCGAAGGCTAGGACTTTTTCCGTGGTGGCTTGACAGTGTTGCGAACAGGGCTCTATTTATCAAAAATTCTGACAATTAATTATCAGTTTAGTGGCTCGTGAAGTTACCTAAGCCTCGGCCGATATAAGAACATGATCTGTGTAACAAAATAACAAATATTTTTGTGGCGCCTTTGAGATCTTTGTCACTTGAATTAAAATCATTCTTTAACATTTGTCAATAACGATATGATAATCTACATAGTAATCGACATAAAAGTATAACAAACTCGTTTAAAAATAGCTACGAAGAAATTAATTACTAATCACTTGAGCGAATAAGATTGTAGAGTTATCAGTTTAAAATATCAGCATATAGGAAAGAGTAAATAATTATCCACCACGTTTGCGCATTAAACTATTGCATTCAAAACTCATGTGATTTATCATTTAACTATATTAATATACTTTCTCAGACAATCATACTAAAATTTAGGAAATGGGTCACTCATGTAAAACTACTTTAACAAATACTTATAAGAGGGAATCATCTGAACCCACGAATGATCTTATCATGATAGAAATTATCTCCTTGATAAAATTATCAAAAATTTTTAAGTTGCGTGTGTACGTCCGCACATATACTAAAAAGTAACTAAGTTGGTTCTCATTAACTTACGCACTATGCTGATCCCACTTAATGCAATAAATCTGTGATACAATTATTAGCTATTGTTACTCGTAGGAATCATTATCATAAATTTGTGTCCATCATTTTAGTTTCCTTATTGAGTGTCGTGATCCCCCAATCACATACAATATAAACGTCATACGCATAATTCAAAAAAAAAACAATGAATGACGTGAATGTGAATGTAATTTTGCGGATGGACAATTAGAGCTCATTAAGGCCAACAAACCGTGAAACACAATGTATAATTAGAATCCGAAAATCTTTCAAAATTTCCTTGGGGTTACAACAATGGTATAGCTTATGCTAAAAATAAACCATAGGATATGAAATGCCGATATGTTAATATTAGTGAAACCTCAGTAATTGGCTGCAAAAATACGTAAAGATAACATATGTACACATACGGGTATAAAATTTTTTGAATGCCTGATCTCCTGAAATGTACAAGTGCAAATCAGCAATTTCAATTAGAAAATTCTAGGCCGTTTCCTGAATACTACTCTTACCGAAAAGTATTCAGACAATCTATGTTTGTTGAATATTATCGTTATCGTTGGAATACGTTATAATAAATTAACAAATATGCTTAAATATCAATGATCCAAGAATTTAATTATATGTGTCTACAAATTGGTTTATATTAGCTCAAGCCACATACATAGGTTCGGAAATTACGTTGTGTGGCGGGAATTTATAAATTCAACCTTCATTCATTCATTCGAGTACCACAGAGTTGGTTAGTAATACAGGAAAGTAAGATTTAGAAATTTAATATAGCACGAATAAAGAATGTTCTACGTACTCTAAGTGTAACGTTGTGGATAATCCATCATTTTCATTTCCCAAAGGAAATTCTTTTGTTTCCACAATTTTTTATTGGACGCCACACTGACGATCCCTCAGATTGTATGCATGCAATTACGAAATGGTTTGAGTTAAAAGTGAAATTTGTACGTCATGTAATTTTGACCAATCAAATTTAAATATCAGGTGACACTATTTTACAAAAAAAAAGAACGGGATAACGATAACTTAAATCTTTTAACGTTATACCACTATGTATATAATAAAAACAGGCGTTTGTTACATTTGCCAATCAGATAATTACGTGTTATGCAAATTTGTTTGGGTCCTGACTGTGAACGATAATTCAAGTTTTTGGAATTTTCAAGGTTTGCTCTTTAATTTTTGAATTTCAAAATTCGTCGATTCCTATATAGGTATATAGAAATCGTTGTTCACACCTTGAAACAGCTGTGAATTTTGTAGGTCATCAAAAAAAAAAAAAGAATCACTCGGTTCTTAAGCAATTTCTGATTTCTTAAAATTACTCCGATATCGATGATAATTTTATGTTCAGGTATCGGAATAGATTAAGAATCAGAAATCACCTAACAATCGTAACAATCAAGTAATTTTCTTTTTTTTTTGACCTATAAAATTCACAAAATTTTGCAACCCGCAATATTTAAGTTCATCGAAGGGTCACAATCATTTGATTGCTTAAACATTTTATAGCAATCTACATTTTAGACTTTTTGATTTATTCGGCATTTACTCATTTCTTTGACGTTTTTTTCTTTCAATCGCTTTTCTGTCAATATTTTATCAATAATCGGTTTCATCCATTTTTCCAGACACTTGATTTCCTTGACAATTAATTCTCAACATTTTTTATTTACCAAATGTTTATTTCTCCAAACGCCTTTATTTCCCAATACTATCGTTTTTCCGATATTTTCACTTTTATTCTTTTTTAATATTTATTAAGACAATTCATTCAAGTTTATAAATATTTACAATTTTAATTTATTTTATTCATATTAATTTAGTTTATGATTATAAAATATTTACTATTAATTTTTTATTTATTTGTATTAGTTTATAATATTTATTAATCTAAGTACAACTATATATTTAAATGTATTTTTTTAATACTATATTTCTTTAAAGAAAAATTGAACCCGTCCAGAAAAGTGCCAACCAGGTCACCCGCGGGCAGGATTGGCAATGGAGCCAATGGAGCTAATGGAGCTAAATGGATACGTGAATGGAGCTCATAAAACTAGTACCCATTGGCTCCATTCGAAGCTCCATTGGGCTCCATTGAGCTCCATTGCCAACTTTGCCTGCGGGTGGGTCACCCCCATTTACTCGGGTATTAAGAGAAATTCTACTATGGGTTACCCGTAAGTAGGTCACCTCAATCGTCCGAATAGTAGAATGAATCATACATACATATAGCGTTTCGACACATCTAAAAAATCATCACTAGCTCACTCAATGGGCGGGTCATGTATTACTCAGGTGTAAATCAGGTCAGTTTAACCAGTTTAAAAAGTCGCCTACGGATCAGTTTAAAAAAACTATCTATGCGCATATAAGACTAGGGATTAACTTTATAATTATATTCATAGTTAATTTAGTAGTTAAATATACGAATGTTTTAAAATAATTTGAGTTTGTGAATATTAGCATTGTACTAATGATTTCACTCAGGTCCTGATTATTCTGACAATTATCGATCTAAGTAGTTAAAGTAACCTTCATATTTTTATTTATTGCAAAATTATGTAAAATTTAGATTAGACAAAATTTGCGCATCTATTGTTATTATTATTATTATTATTATTATTGTTTTTTTTTTTTTTTTTTTTTTAAAAAAAAAAAAGTGAGGTTTTGCCTCAGTTTCTTTATTGATTATTAATGTCTAAATACATTTTGATCTGTAGTACATATTATTTAATCTCCGAAAGCTAAAGCTTTGGTTACTTTACCTACAACCCAGACTTTGCTAAAGAGGGTCAAAGTCTTCACTTAGTTTACTATTGTATTGATGTAATTTGGTGATATATTGTAATTTATGAATAATTTTTTCCAAATTTCAAGTTTAATTTCTATTTTTAAATCAGTTAATACTGTATTATGTGTGTTGGCTATAATTATTGAGATTGTTGTTATATTTTCATCAGTTTTTTGTAACTATGTTGTGTTAAGTTTTTTTGATATATTGTGTTATTTTTGACATCATGTTAACATATTTTTTTGTATATTCTTTGTGTGATTTTATACATTAGATAAACTGTGTTTTGATTTTGGCATTTATACTATTTTGTTTATATGTTTTGTATTATTTTGTGATAACATCTTCAATGTTACTCTTGTTAGTTTAGTTTATATATTTGTTAAGCATATGTTTTGAGTAATTAGCATTATTATTTGGTATTATGTTTTGTTATTTGTTATATCTTATTTAGACAAAATTTTGTTTACTGTTTCAGTTATTATTTTTTGTAAGCTTGTGCTGTTGCAGCTACATGTCAGCAAATGATAGTTGCTTTCTGTTATAATATAGCATTATATGCATGTTGGATTAGAATATTTCTTGTTATCATATTTATATAGGATTTCTAGTATTAATAGCACTTTTAATAGTAGGTTTATTTTGAAAGCTTTTAGTTGAAACTATTTGGAATTAGTTTGTCTTTGTGTTGAAGCACATTGATAATTAAGTAATTGTAAAAAAAATTCTAATCTAGGTTTTTGCAACTAGTGTTTCAAATTTGTGTTTTTGTTTGTAATTACTAATATGCTATATGGTTAGCATTATAAGTATAACAAACAAATTTTCTGATGTTGTATTCAATTGGTTTGTTTTGCCATATGGGATATAGAATATCATAGTATATATTTTTGTAATTTATATTTGTTTCTATAATAAGAGAATCTAGTTGTATAGTATAAGTAATAGGATCATTAGTTGTAAATATATAGTATAGATCTTTTTTGCAACTATTGCTTTCTATGTTAGCTAATTTGGCTAGTTATTTAAATGATATATTTGATATACAGTATGTCTTCTGTTGTAGCTGTATTTATTATTTTTGCCAGTTTTATAAATTGTATTTTATTTGTGATAACTTCTATTTTAGTTCTATAAGGTGTAATAATTAAGCTAATTATTAGAGTTGTAATAAGTGTTTTAGTTGTGAAAGACTTCCAAAAGCTATTATTTTGCATTGTTGCTTTATTAGTAAAATGTCATATATTATCATATTTTATTATATATTATTAATTGTTTATTGTTTTTAAATTAGTTAAAAGATAATGTATTTGTAGTCTTTGCATTTTTGCTATAAGTCTTGTATATAATTAGCTACTTCTAGGTTTTCTATTAACTCTTTTGCTAGTCTATAATGTTTTGACAATATGTTTTGGTTTTTTTGTATTTTTTCATTATTGTTACATTTAGTTGTTTGTTTTAGGTTATTCATATTTGCTCTAATAATTTTGTTACTACTAGCTG